TTTTTCCTCTCAATTATTCAGTATTGGTCTGGAAACCAGAGCTGAGTTCGTGTGCGAATAGCAGCAGCAGGCACTATTGATTGCTATTCGTTTTCTTTAATCTTAATTATTAGAACACCCACCCCACCCTGCCCACAGCCCGGTCTTCCCACTGAGGACCAGCGCCCACCCATCCCCGCCTGTTCTCGGGGCTGTTCCAAGAGCCTGGGCCTAAGTGCACATCGCAGCCATTAGGGCCTCCCCAGAGCCCGTCCACTCCAGTGGGAGGCAGCGATAGTTAGATTCCAGAACCTTCTCTCTGCTGTGTCTACCAGTTCCTCCTGTCTCTGACCATTCCCAGGCCCAGACAAGACTCCTCACTTTGAAAGACCCGTCTCCAGCCAGACTTTCTGTTCTCTGTAGACCACTGGCTTCCCCTGTGGACACTGCTCCATCCTGTGGGTGGGGGACCCTCCCCAGGTCCAGTGGTCCCTCCAGCCTGTCTGGGTCCACAGGCTGGGGACAAGTGAGGCTGCACTCGACAACTCAACCTTCCTTCCCTGGGCTCAGGCTGCATCTTCAGGTCTCAGGGCAGCCCTGTGTGGGGTCCCTGTGGGGGACACAGGCCTCCCTGTGGCCCTGATCGTACTGCAGTCAAGGGCCAGTTCGCCAGCTGGTACCTGCAGCAGTGAACGACTCCTGGGAGTTCAGGGGAGAGGCCTGGACAGTGAGGGTCTGGCCCAGGAGGCTCGGGGCCATCCTCCACAACAGAGGGTGAGGCAGGAGGAGGTGGGCCCCATCTAGGGCAGGGACTCTGACCAGAAAAGACTGGTTTGGGGCAGGTACCAGCCCTGCATGAGCCTGGTCAGTGCTGACAAGCAAGAACTGGGTCATCCATAATGTTCCCTCCAAACCCACGGTGGTCGGGTGGAGGTGGGGACCAGACGGAAGCCACTACGTCCCCCCTAGGTTCTGCTCTACGGGGCTGGAAGCACCAGGGCATGGAGCTGGCCCCGGTCACCTGCCAGCCTGGCTGTCCCCTTAGGGAACTGGGGTCCTGACATGCCTGTCCTCACAACTAGGCTCTTGTGGCAAGGAATCTTTTCCCCCCAAATCCCATATTTCCCTGAAAGTCTGGCTCCCTCTTCCTGTCCTCTACAAACGAACATCAGAAAACACAGTTCCCGCTCCTCCTGGGATTTCAGCCCAGGTCTTGTTAACATCTATAATTTTGGTCATGAAACACGCCAGCATGACTTTGACCTGCACCAACGCAACTGCTACTTGCAGGACCACAAGAGGAGTTACCTGGGTTACGCCCTGCCGTGCTGCCACACACACACACGTGTTTGTCTTCGCAGGTGGTTAGTGGGTTTCTTAGGATTTTCTATATAACAGTATCATGAAATGAGCAAACAGTTTTGTCTTGACTTGTCCGGGAGGCTGTAACAGAATACCAGAGGCTGGAAAGCTTAGAAACAACAGACATTTATTTTTACAGTTCTGGAGGCTGGAAGACGACGACGGAGATGCTGGCGGACCTGGCATCTGGCGAGGGCTGCTTTCCTGGCTCACAGATGGTCATCTTCTGTGTTCGCATGTACTGAAAGGAACCAGGGGCAGTGGCACACACCTGAATCCCAGTGACCCGGGAGGCTGAGGCAGGAAGACTGTCTGCTCAAGAGCAGCCTGGGTGATTTAGTAAGACCCTGTCTCAAAAAAGCGGGGGGGGTGTCTCAGATGTAGCTCAGTAGTAAAGTGACCCTAAGTTCAATCCTCAGTAGTAAATCAATCAATCAATAAATCGAAATTCTGACAGAAATCAAGCAGGGACCTCTCTGGGACCTCAATTTTGTCCGGCAGTACTAGGGATTGAACCCAGGGGTGCTTTACCACCGAGCTACTCCCCAGCCCTGAGCTTCTTCTATCAGGGCCCAGGTCTAGCTCTTGAGGCCCGGCCTCATCTCCTGAGGCCCCCTCCATGTGCCATCGCCCGGTGGGCACGATTTCAGCCTGGGGCACCCACATTCAGACCAGGGCCCTGGACTCTTTCCAACATGATGTTGTCTAGGCGGTTCTCCTGCCTGGTCGCCTGGGCTAGCCCCCCAGGACAGTGTTGAATGCAGGTGTTGAGTCCTCTCCCACCGACCGGGACTGTGCTGTGGTCTCCGCAGCTGCCCCCATGGCCGCTGTCCCCGTGACCTGCTTTCAGCAGCAGAGCCCAGGGACAAGCCGCGGCTCTGTCCTGTGCGACTCGGATCGTTGCGGGACACTGACCTCTCTCCCTCTCCCTTTTCTCTCCCTCCTGACCTGCTCTTGACTCTGTGGCCAACACCAGGGACAGTGGCAGGCCCCCTTGCCATAGCAGGCTCTGCGTACACAGCAGCTTGTTCTGGTTGGGGCGGTCTTCATGGAGATCAGGCTCAGAGGGGTCCTGTGCCCTCCCCAACCAAAAGCTGCTCTGTGGGGGCCTGAGTCATGGGCCCTGGGCCTGTGCCAGCCGAGGAGTCTCTCAGTCACACTCAGCTCACAGGAGCCCTTGTCTGAATGCTGAGGCTTTGGGCCACATTCCAACCACCCGCAATGCTGCGCAGCGGCCATGCCACAGGGGGGAAACTGAGGAACCAGCCCGCAACCACACGGGCTCCCTTCCCCACCTACTGCCAGCTGTGCCTCGTCAGCCCAGCAGCCCCCCTTATCCTCGGGCACAGCTCATCGGGGCTTGTCCACAGTGGCTTGCAGCTGCAGTGGAAGCTGGGCTGGGCTCAGACGACTGCAGAAGCCCTCCCCAATGTGCTCTTGGGCACCCACCAGCCGCAGAACCACACAGACACATGTCACAGATGCTGCCACCAGGAGTCCTGAGGTCCCCACAAGGTTGAGCTGGTGGGCGGCTGGGCAGGGTGCTTCAGGTGTGGGACCCTGAGAGGCAGCCTATCCCCCCAGCAAGGCTCCGGTGCCAACGGGACTGAGGCAGCTCCCTGCCACTGTGTCCTCATTCAACCCCAAAGCCAGGCCTGGGGAACCCTCCCATTGCCCCCACTGCAGCCCCATGGAATGTGGAACCACTCTGGTCCTTGGCCCAGACGCCTGCCCACCTCTTCCAGAGCTCACCGCCTGCCTGCCCTGTGTCAAGCCCCGCCCCCTCCTGGAGGGCTTCCTTCTGTTCTTCCCACCTCGCCCCTCCCCTGGAATGCTCCTCTGGCTCCAGGCTGGCTCCAATGCAGGCGCAGGCGTCAAGGCCTGGCTCCATCAACACAGCCTGCAGGGTCCCCATGCCCCTCCATCAACATCCTTGGAACCACTTCCCTCCTCAGCACGGATATGACCATCATATCGAGCGACACCTGTCACCCCCATCAGAGCCTAAGGTCCTTGAGGGAAGGGGTCCTGGCTGCCAGGTGCTCCACAGCCAGTTCCTGGAGCAGTGCCTGACACAGTGGGCACCTGAGAAATGTTTGTGCATGACCAAAGAAGAGGACAGAACAAGCTGGCCAGGCAGGGCCTGCCTCAGGCTGGTGGACCAGGGATGTAACGCGCATCCCACACCTTTGGTGAGCAGTGTCCCATCCCTGGAGAGAGCAGGGAACTGCTGGGACAGCAGACATCTGGGGCATGCAGAGAAACACCCCCCCCCAAGAAGGTCCATTCTGCACCCTTTTAACAGAAAGCACCCCACAGACCCCCATATGGAGACTGACATCCTTTACTGTAGTTCACTCTGACACGCGTGAACACAGAACTACGCGGTGCTGCTCAGATGCAAGCGCGAAGCAAAAACAGATTTACAAATTGACCACCAGAAAGAACTGCTCTGTCCAGGAAGGTATCCACTGGCCACCATCTATGACATACAACTAACACTTCCATGCCTTGGTGGCCACATTCCCAGTGCCCACTGCTGCCATGGGCAGTGATGCTGCTGAGTCGGATTGGTCAGGTGGTGAAGGTTGGGTTTCCAAAGGTGGCCCCACATGGTCCCCAGGTGAGGCTCTGTTCATGAAGCAGCCCCATCCTCCAGCTTTTGGGGAGAGGAGGACATAGGACACCTTGGTGGAGGTGTCACCTATGGTGACAGATATCATTCCCTCTTCACCTGGGGAGAAAGCCCTCCTCACTGGGAATCAGAATCGGTCCTCATTTCCTTACCAGAAGCAGTGAGGCCAGCAGGACCCCACACCTTCAGGAAGGCGGCTGGAAGACCTGGGTGAGGGGGCAACCAGGACGCGGCGTGAGATGCACAGTACTTGGAGGTTTCTTGCAGGTGTTTGGTGCCTGCTAGATATTTAACGCGGGTCTGGGGATAACCTCTGGGTGCACCAGTCGCCTTTCCAAAGGCAGACTCCACTAACAGCAGCCAGCGACACCCCTTTCTATGGGACAAGGGCCTGCTGACTAAAATCACTATCTTCAGGACCTTCAGGCCCAACTTCATGCCCACCCACTTTCCTTCCCGAGAGAGTAATGCGAACAAAGCGCGCTCTTAGCCTGAGAACATTTCTCTGGCCCCACGCGGCCTCCAGGGGTCCTCCCAGAAGGTCCAGGGAGCCTGAGGCAGGAAGAAAGAGGTCGGTCCTCAGGCGCGGCTTTGCAACCAGCCCCGGGGGCTTAGAGCCTTACTGAAGTTCCAGGACGCGTCCCAGCCGCACCAAGGTCGCGAACCCCAAAGTGCTTGTGCACCGGAAGGTTGAGGGAGGTTTTGCGGCCCCTGCCCCGCGCCCGGCGGCAAGAGGCGGGGCAAGGGGGAGGGGCGCAGAGCTCTGCGGAGGCGGGGCCTGAGGGGGGCGGGGCCGCAGCGGCCTATAAACGACGCGGACGGGTCGCGCGCCTGGCCACAGAGCGAGCGCGCAGCCGAAGCAGCAGCGGCGACCCCTGCGCCACCCGGGCCTCGCGTCTGCCTGTCGCCCGCGCCTCGCGCCCGCAGGTCGCTCGGGCTCGGCGTCCTGCTCGCCGCGCCCCGACACCCCCTGCCCATCAGGCCCCCCGGCCCGCCCGGCCCCGCGTCCCCGCGCGCCCGCAGCCCAGGACCGGCCCGCGCCCCGCAGGCCTCCCGCCGCCCGCGCCGCCATGGGGGTGGAGGGCTGCACCAAGTGCATCAAGTACCTGCTCTTCGTCTTCAATTTCGTCTTCTGGGTGAGCCGAGGGGAAGTGGGGGTCGCGGCGGGCGGGGGCCAGGCGCACCCCCTTTCGGGCAGGCCCGGCGGCAGCGCTAGGCCCCGTGGCGGGGTTGCGGCGCGGCGCGAAGTTGAGGGGCCACCTGTGGGCTCGGGGCGCAGTGCGGGATCAGGGCCGCCGCGCCCCCGGGCAGCCGGGCCAGGTGTCCGCGCGTCGCGGCCCAGCCCCCCCGCCCCGTCCGTCCCGTTAGTCTGGGGACCACTAACCTGTCCCTGTTGCGTGATGGCGATGGTTGCGGGGCGTGTGAACCCGCATCCCGGACTGCAACCCCTCAGCGGCGGCGGAGCCCGCGTGGCCCTCTTGGCCACTGTTTCGGGGACCACCCTGCTTCGCTGGTACTGAGGGGCCTCTAGGGCGGGACTCCCGGCGCCCCGCCCCCATGAGCTCATCCGGGCCACCGCCCCTGGATGGGCGGCCGAGAGCTGGGGCTGGGGGGCGCACACTTTCCTCCAGCCGTGAGCACAGTCTACACCACTTTTCTTCCTGCCCTGCTCACCCTCCAGTCTGGAGACCGTCCTGGGGGTCGGATTTAGGGCGGAGTGCACAACAGGATGGCCTCATGCTGGTGCGCGCCTTGCCCCAGTTCTGGAGGCCCTTCTTACCCTCCTCAACCACACAGATTCCAGCCCCAGTATGGCCCCCACGGGCCTGTGGGCCTGTGGAAGCTTTGCGGGGAGTGAGGCCCCGGGCTGAGTTGACACAGACTGAGGGTGACCCTAAAGATCAGAATCTCTCTGCGCCCGGGCTTTCGGTTCCTGCTGATGGTCTGGGCTGGGTTGTCCACTTTTTGGAGTGCAGTCTCCCCTGGTCTCGGGGCCTGCAAGGAGCACTTTCTCCTCTGTGGCTCTGGCCTTTTGTTTCCATTTCCTGCGGAGTTGGAATTGGGAAGGGGTGGAGACTCTTCCCAGCCTGGGAATGTGGGTGGGTGTTGCTGGCCACTCCTCTGGGCCCCCAGCTGCTGTGCACCCCAGGCTCCCTTCTCAGGCCAAGCACAGGCAGTCTGTGTCTCAAGTTGAGGCAGGACCGGTAAACTTACAAAGCAGCCCCTGGAGTGAGTGTGTGGGACTGGGGACATCTGTTTTCCATCTGGACAGCCAAGGATCCCAGGGTGGATCTAGGGTCAGTGGGATGCTTGTTGGGGAGACACACTGGTTTGGACCCTGCTGGAGTAGGTTTGGGGGGCACAGCATGTCTTGCCAAGCCAGGCAGTGCCGCATGGCCTGCTGCAGCACACCATCTGGGAGCCAGGGCGGCCACGGGGAGCAGCAAGGCCATGTGGGATGGGCTGGCCCTGCCTGGCATGGCCCTGGGGGCCGCTGCTGAGTGGTAATGTTGATCGGTGTTTTTCTGCTCTGGACCAGGCAGGTTGGAGGCAGGCCTGTGCCAGGTTGTCGCTTTGCTGGTCTTGAGTCCCGGCTGTAACTGAGGACCCTGCAAGGAGTTGAAGGGCAGGCAGGAAAGGGGCCTCCTTTTGGCCTCTGGGCTGTGCATCAGCCCATGAGGCCCACCCACTGCCCCAGCTGGGAGGGCGCTCAGGCTCCCCTGGGAGCTGGGCCTCCAGGAGGTGGGTTGTTTCCCAGGCAGCCAGGATGAGGCCAACACATCCCCCAGGGCGCTCCTCCTGCCCATCCCAGGGGCCTGCCCAGCGCAGAACATGTATGTTCACAGTTCTGTGGACCCATCCACTCATGCTGGACCCTGCACTGGCTGGAAATTCAGAGTTGAGCTGGGAGGGCCTGGCAGAGGAGCCCCTCTGTCCCCTGCATTGCGGGGCTGGTCCTGTGGCCGAGAGCACCATGGTGCCAGGGATGGACCTAGTTGAGCCCAACTCCGCTGCTCCAGTGCTGGGCCTCTGCTTTCTGCTCTCAGGGGGGTCCTCACGGTCCCTCCCCAAGAGAGACCGGGGCTGTGGGCAGACTAGCTAATGTACCCGAGTGTGGGACAAGGGGCTCGGCATGGGGAGAGCTCAGGAAATAGATGCAGGGCACGATGTCCCAGGGTCCAGCCAGGGAGAGCGAAGCTGAGGGTAGGAAGTGCGTGGGAAGGGGCTGCCGTTCCCGGGGCACCTGGAGGACCCTGCCGCGCCTGGCCTGACGTGGACACAGGGCAGTACCAGGGGCTCATGGGAAGCTGGGTGAGCACAAATTGACAGTGGGTGTCTGGATGCTGCACTTTTTTTTTAAAGTTCTGTTTAGAGCGGAAGAAAGCGTCCCTGTGGTTGGAGCACCCCAGGCCGCCTAGCCTGCCTCTTAAGAAGCGCTGTGACAACCTGGTCTCTCACGCACACTCCCATTGCTGGCTCTCTCCTACACTGAGACGCAGGGCCCCAGGCAGCCTTGGGCTCTGAGCCTCTTCTGACTGGCTGCTGCTTTGGGGCTAGTGAGGTCCCGGACACTCTGAGTGTGTGGGCAGCAGGCTTAAGACAAGGGACAGGGCAGGAGGATGAGCAGCAGACTGGCCCAAGCAGGGGAGACCATGCAGATGCCTAACCAAGTAGTGAGGACATCCAATCCCTTGGGGTGGGTGCAGGGGCTTCTACTGGAGCATTGGTGCCCAAGACTTGCTGCTTTGAGACTTGCTACTGGGAGTAGGGCAGGAAGGAGAGCAGGGCCCTGTCCTGGGACAGGTGACTGGCCTGCAGAGCCTCCCTTCTCATCTTGTGAAATGGGCATCATGATGGTCTTCTCCATGGCTTCTGGCCAGGGAGCCCGGGAGAGGTGCTACCAGTCTTTGCTGGAGAAGGGTCCTATCTTCTGCCCAGAACTGGCTGCCCCTCTGGACTTAGGTGACTGGTGGCAAGCCCACCTCAAAGGAGACTGATTAGCAGCCGCGCTAACTGGCATTCAATATTCCCCTCAGACAGCACATGACTGTCACTTGGTGACTGTGGCCTTTCTTCCCGCAGGGGGGCTACAGTCCAGACAGGCTCTGGGTGGGGGCAGGGCTTCCTGTGCCTGGTTGCACCCAGTGGGTGAGTGGACTTCCCCTGGTGCCCCCAGGCTGTCTGGCTTCTGGCTGCCCAGCTTTGGGGAGACAACCGTCAGTCCAGGATGGGCTGAGAAGAGGAAGTCTGTGGTTTGTCCCTGGCCATGCTGGCTCCAGTGAGGGTGTCGGCAGAGAGGGGCACAGAGCTGCCGCAAGGAGGCAGGGGGCCTGGGACCCTGGTGCCCCTCCAGCTGGCCCTGCTCCAGGGCCCACGTGTTGCCACTGTCTAATGAGAGGCCCCTCTCTGTTCCTTCTAGGGCACGCCAGGCCTTCTCCCACCACCTCCACCCCAGCTCAGGTCTGGCTCCAGAAATCAAATCCAGTCCCAATTCAGTCTTAGCTGCCTCCAAGCCCAGACAGGGAGGCTGACCCCACACCCTCCCAACCCAAAGTCCTGCAATCCGCCAGATCAATAAGGTTTAGAGTCCAGGCACCATGGAGGGGGCAGGTTCTCACCCTTGCACTGGCCTTGGGTTTTGGAACCCAAGGCCTGGCACACAGACCAATCAGGCAGTGAGTGCCAGGTGATCTTCCAGCACTGGAGGCGTCCACCTTGTTCCCTGGACAGCTGCATGAACAACCAGGCTCATCCAGAATTGGCTCTCAGGGGCCTGCACCTGTCCAGTACTCTGACCCAGCATGCCGGGTGGCCTTCCAGGAACCTCTGGACCTCCTAATACCCTGTCCCCTCTACACAGTACTGTGTACCTCTGGGTGCAGCAGAAGCCACTTTACCTGGCGGGCTGCAAAGCAGGTGCTGAAGTTTTTGAGATGACTGGGTCCTCTGGGTGGCCTCTGTGGCTGGGGACATCCCTGTGGCAGAGGGCCAGGCCCCAGGGGCTGGTCCATGGTCAGCTGGTAGTTGGCTTTTACTCCCTGTGTGGCAGGGCAGCAGCCTTTGCCGTCCCAGCACTGTGGCCATGGGAGGGGAGGGCTTCTAGCTGGCGGCCGCCGTCCTCCAGGGCTCCAGGTCTGGTAAAGGCTGCGGGTACAGAGAGGTGCGTTAGAACCAGATGCCCAGAGTTTCATAGTCTGGAAACGCTGAGTGGGTGGTGAGGGTCCTCCTTGAAGGGGCAGAGCGTGCCCAGTGTGGGGTCCCCACACCATGGAGGTAAGGTGGGGCAGGGAGCCAGACGCTAGGCCTAGGGCTCCGAGCCCTGCTCTCCTCTCTGAAGATATGCCCTTTTCTGATTTGGAGAGGTAATTCATCCATCTTCATCCTTGCCCCAGTTATTGAGGTAACTTGGCCATTATCAGGAAGGGGAAGGCCCAAGGGCCCCAGCAAGGAGGCTCTGGGCACCCCGTGCTTCCCCGAGTGGCAGCTTACTCCCGTCACGCCCCCCGTCAGCTGGATCCGCAGTTTCTCCGGAGGGTCTGTGTGGTCACCTGTGACTGCACGTTGAGCTCGTGGTGCAGCTGCCAGTGAGCTTCTGGTGGTGTCTCGAGGTGCTCCGCGCGGCAGGGTGTGGGAGCAAGGTCCCTGGTCCCCTGCCCTGCCGGAGCTCCAGTCCTGGGCTTGGACCTTGAGCTCTGGGGTAGACCCCTGGCTTGTGAGGGCCAGCAGCCTGCAGCCCTGGGGCTCTCGGGGAGCCCAGCCCTCACGCAGCTCCCACGGCCGGGCCGGAGGCTCTGCTTCCTGCTCCCCTCCTTGGGTGTAGCAACCTCAGCTACACAGCCACTCCCCACCTCTGTGCCCGAGGAGATGATAGTGGCTCCTGAAGTAGCACTGTGCCAGGCAGGGCCTGGGAGACCCTGGCCTCCAGCTGTGCGGGGCTGTTTTCAGACCAGACCGTTGGCGATAAGGAGACTGAGTGCAAGCAACCACAAACCGCAGGAGCAGGGGGCGGGGAGGCTGGGACTAGAGCCCGTCCCACAGCCTCTGACTCCTCTGTGTCCTGGCTCTGGGCTTCTCTGGGGCAGGCGGTCGTACCCAGGTGGGAGCAGGTACAGCCCTGAGCCGGCTGAGTGCTGCT